CAATCAAAATCAAGAATCTATTCGTAGATCATTCTAGAATGCGATTTCCTAATTTGGTATATTCCCAGACTGCATTACATTTATATTTGGTAGCAGATGATAGTCGAATGATGCCATTCGACGTGTTGAATTTTTTTGATTTTTTACCAGTGTTGATGAATTTTATCTTCGCCAGCATCCTATTTTCCATTTCCAAAGAATACAATTTCTAGTAAATATAATATTATCAGGCTTATCATCTTGACCCACTTTTTTGTTGAGTTTTCGCTTTTTACTGGCTATGCTGTCTTTCGGACCTGATAACTTTAACTTCAGAATCGACAATTAAACACATCCATTAAATAAATAATAATTTCTACCAAAGTATTTTTCAAATTCTTAGAAACTCTCTGGAGTGCGTTCAATTTAATTTATTGTAAAGAACTTCAGTAATTCCGCTTGTTATGCATTGCCTAATATGTTTGTTTTCAACCCATTGATCGTCGTTACAACTTCTCTTGAAGACAACACAAATTTACTCAATTTCTAGATTTCATTTTTTTTTTGACATCAAATCATAGCAACAAACGTTCTTTACAGTGGTACTTTTACTTAAACTTCTTATATTGGTTTTTCCTCCCTAATAAATAAGATTAAGTTTATATATTATCGGCTTCAATTTTGGAATTTACTTACAACTGAGGTTCGAAATCTCTTTCTGGAATATTATATTTATTAGAACTAAGCCAAGACATAACGGGTCATCATTTGATAATTGATCTATATTTATGCTATTTTATGCAGCCGCGTTTCTTCATCCTAACAAATTGAAAAATGTCGATTTGTAGTAGAAAAAATAAAATTAGATAACCATCTATATACCTTGATTTTATCTTTCAGAATTGCTGTTATTTAAAGTCAAATCTTCAAATTTAAAATTTTCTCGCAAGAACCCCTCATTTCTAATAACTTTTATCTAAAAAATGATGAATGGGTTAATATGGATGGGTTAATAAATTCAGAACAAACATCATTATTGTTGCACAAATGCCCAAATAATGGAGTTGATTTTTTTCACCGTCATTGTAAAAATTACACATTTAACCTAAACTTCATAATTATTATATAAAAAAAAACAACCTCATTATTTTATACTCATTTTATTGATGTTACATAGACTAAAAATTTTTTACAGAACTTTTTATACTCATTTTATTGATGTTACATAGATTAAAAAAATTTTTACAAAATTTCTATTCGAATTTATAAAAAATCATCCCGAATTATGGTAGGATACTGTATATAGCAAAATACATATTGAGTGATTTGTTTTATGAATCAAAAATTAACCAAACAATAAACAATGGGTCAAAAAAAACTTTATCTCATCGAGATAGATCAAATCTCAAAATTACACTATTCTAAGCCGATTGCTAAAAAAAGTATTCCTTAGCATTAAAGATGCTGACCCCGGCGTTACTATTTGAATTGTTCTTCGGTCACGCCCTTGCCCATAGCAGCAGTAGAAGCGACTCCAGATTGTACAGTTTTAACTTAAAGAAAATTAAATATGCGTAAAAATTAAATTCTTACATATTCATTATTAAAATAACATATTGACTTACTTAATGAATCAACATAATTCGCGCCAGCCCACTTTTGATGTGCCAACGTTTCTACTCCGTGTTCACGTTCTTTTCGTTGAACATCCCTGACATAAGCCAACATACCTTCCTTGGCATATTTGCGTGCAAAAAGATCTATAAAATAAATAATTAATTAATAAAGGTCATAAAGCCCGGTAACGAAGACATAATAATAATGATAATGATAATTACCGACGCCCAAGGCATTAGAATGAAGACCACCCAATGTAATGAATTGCCATGAAAATCCTAATTTACCCAAGTCCCAAATGAAAGTGCGAATTTGTTCATCGTTCAAGCCGGCTTTATAAAATAATAGGATTTAATTAAAGCATGTTAAAACCCTCAAATTATAACTAACATGCGTATATATATATATTGTATACCTGCATCCCAATTAAAACTTGGCGACAGATTGTAACAAAGTAAAATCTCAGGGTGAACCTTGAGTACACCTTAAACAATAAGAATATTATTTAACAAAAGACAACAAAGTAATATTA